TTGTCTAGAAAATTATGTAGCTTTGGCTGTTCTGGAACTCATTATTTTGATCAGAGACCCATCCCTCCCAAGTGCTGGGATTAAAGGCATAGGCCACTACACCTGACAATATATGTCTATCTTCATGCTGGTATTACATTATCTTTATTATTGTAGGTTTGTAATAGTATGAAATTGAAAAGTATGAGTCCTCCAACTTTGTTCTTTTTCAAGGTTGCCTTGGCTATTCTGGGCCCCTTAGATTTCTCTGTGAATTTTATCTATTAATTCACTTTTGATACAGGGTATCACTTTGTAGCTCTGGCTGGCCTAGAACTCACTAGGTTGGCCTTGACCTTACAAGAGATCCACTTGCCTCTGCCTCTCAAGTACTGGGACTGGATTAAAGGTGTATGCCACTACACCTGGCTCACTATGAATTTTATTTTGGCTTGTTGATTTCCACACAGAATTTAGCTGGGATTTTGGTAGGTATTATACGGAGTCTGTAGGCTAGTGAAGTGTTGCCATTTTCACAGTAGTATGCATTACAATTTATGGCCACTTCTTTCTGTTATCTTCAATGTCTTAGTTTCCAAAGTATAGCCTTACATTTCTTTTGCTTATTCCTTTAAAAATATTTTAAGCATTTAAAATACTAAGTCTTAAAAATATTAAGACGGGCTGGAGAGATGGCTCAGTGATTTGAAAGAAATAAAAGACTTTAATCTGTAGAGTAAGAATGTGGGAAAGGGGCAGGAGAATAATTCTTGCAAGCAGAATATAGAAAATCATAAAGAATGGACGTTGACATGGGAGGAAAGAACAGGAATTATGAGAACATGAAAGGTTATTATGGCAATGGGGCTAATGGTTATGTGCTAGGCTGATTCTGTTAAATAGGGCTAGTAATTGAATCATCAAACCTTTGTGGAATAACTGAAGTTTCTCCCAGGTCGTGGCCCACATCAAGGAAATAGGTCCCAACCCTGGAACAAATGGTTCCAGGTGAACGGTCCTGGCCGGGTTATGCCCGACTATTGGACGGTCTGGGGTCTCTCCCTGTCATTCTGTTGTTTTTCCATTAAAGAAGAATAGGTCACACCTGGGTGATCTCTCAAAAATGACTTTATACTTTTATTACAAAGCATAATTACAAAGTACAATCACCTTGTGTCCCATGTATGTATGTATGCCGCTTTGCACTCTTTAAAAGGGGCCTGGCCCCTCTGAGGGGTGTGCAGTTTTCCCGGGATTGCTGACACTGGAGTGTACTCATTCAAAAAACACCTCTTGCTTGTTGCACCTCCTGGTTTGGTATCTGTGTCTCGGGGCTCTCCCATGGGCCCATCAGGACCCCAAAATTAGGGTCTTACAGTTAAGAGCACTGGCTGCTCTTCCAGAGGACCTGAGTTCAATTCCCAGCAAGTACGTGATGGCTCACAACCATCTGTAATGAAATCTGGTACCCTCTTCTGGTGTACAGGGATACATACAGACAGAACACTGTATACATAATAAATAAATACATTTTAAAAAATTAAGACTTAAAAATATTTTAAGTCAGATATAGAAGCTCATGCCTCTAATACCAGCATTTGGAAGGATGAGCCAGGAGAATTACTTCAATTTCAAAGCTAACACAGATTGTATAGTGAGTTTAAGGTCAGCTTGTGGTACACTATGAGGACTTGCCTTTAAAAATAGCCAGGCAGTGGTGGTACACACTCTTACTCCCAGCACTCAGGAGGCAGAGGCAGGCAGATCTCTGTGAGTTCAAAGGCCAGCCCCGGTCTACAAAGCTACACAGAGAAACCCTGTCTCAAAAGCAAAAACAAAACAAGCAACAAACAAACAAACAAACCCCCAAAATAGTCAAATGTATTGACAGTTGAGGCAGGGCAATCAGGAGTGAGAGTTAGGTCAGGGCCATTCTATAGTGAATCTGAGACCTGTCTGGACTACATGAGACTCTGCTTTTGAGACAGGGTCATGCCTAGAAAATGTAGGGCCCTGGCAGAACCATCAGTAGTCAGAGTTAGGGAACAAATTAATGAGGTTCTTAAGAGCAGAGGTTAGACGTAGTAGGATGGGCCAGGAGGTGGTGACTTACACCTTTAATCCCAGACCTCGGGAGAAATAGGCAGGTGATCTCTGTGAGTCAGAGTCCAACCTGGTCTACAGAGCGAGTTTTGGGACAGCCAAAGCTACACAGAGAAACCTTGTGTTGAAAAATCAATCAACCAACTAACCAACAACAACAACAAAAAAAAAAAAAAAAAAAAAAAAAAAAAAAAAGAAAAGAAAAGAAAAGAAAGAAAGAAAACAAAAAACAGTAGGAAGGAAAAGCTAATCATGAGCCCTGGAAAGGGAAGAGGAAGTGAATGTCCTAAATGGAATAGACTAAACCTCCTGGACCTGAACAAACTGAAGCAACTAGGGCCTTGTCCATAAAGACTGTGAGGGTTAGAAAGTGACCATTATCTCTTTTCATGACTCAGGCACAAAGAAGAATGCTCATGGGATAACATGTCTTTTCTCGGGCAGGGTCTGCAGGGTGGACACCGGCTAAGAGACTGTGTAAATACTTCAGCAGTGGAGAAGGGTAGCTTACCTCCTTGGTTTTAGATGTGGTTTCACCTTTCAAGGGGCAGAGAGGTGGGCAAGATTCAATGTCTTCTTCAATTTGGTGCCTTCCAAAATCCAGATCTGCTTCTCCTGGAAGCTTTCCCCAATAACCACCCATCCTATTTCCTGCCAGTACCTAGAGGTGATCTTTCTGGAATCCCCTTGTTCCTCACCTAGGGTGAAGCAGCAACTGATGGACTTAACCCTACAAGGGAGGTAGAAAAGTTTCCTTTCCTAGGGCACAAGGCTCTAGGAAATCAAATGCCCTCCTGATCATGAAAACAATGACATATCTCCACAGAAGGCCCTTGGTTGCTGAACTGAAAACCTTAAGGAATGAAGCATAATAGAAATTTCTGTGCAGGTGCAGGAACCATGCAGGGCAAAGCCCTCATGTCGTTCAGGCCTCTCCAGTCATCTTGGCCTTTGGTCTGACCCAATTTTTTACTAATCTGAGGGCTGGAGGGTGGTGCCAGCTTCCTCTTATTGCCCCCTGTGATGTAGGTAGGCAGTCAGAACTCAGACTACTCCACAACCCTCATTCCACTCGGTGTTATGTAATCTGGAATGGGAAAAGCAACTGGGAAGGAAAAAGCAGTGCAAAGATACAGGTCACAAGGGCATGATTTCCCACATCCTCTAGACTGGGCACACCCGGAACAGGGCCTCCTGAGTGAGCCTATATCTCCTCCAATGCCCCTTAGGGCTTACCACTCAAAGCTTAACAGCTCCCCTCTTATCAAGCTGCTGGAAAGATCCTTGGGTTTGCTGAAGTAAATGATTAGCTTCAAGATTAAAAAAACAGGCTGTGCCTCAGAGCTGGGGTGTACCCTGTGGGGATTGTCAGCAGAAACCCTTGGAGCCAAACAATGGAAGGAAAGGAAACCACCCAGTGGCCACTGAATTTTCCTTCAAGGCTAAGTCTGAGCAGACCTCTCCTGGCAAGGATTAGCTGTACAGTTGTTCCCAGGATAGGAGGCAGGGTTTCTTCCAATGCTTTCCCAAATATACGTGCCTGAGTGCGTGGGTGAAACAGCCATGAGAAGGATCAGATCTTAGAAGACTTGAGCACCAACCACAACCTAGATTCCCCCATCCCACAAGAGAGATGACTGAACTTTGGATAGCTCTCCTTGACTGCTGTGTGGGTTGGACAAGATCAGACATGTTCAGGATGGTATGGCTGTAGACGTGTTGTGAGGGTTGAATTTGAAGGTCTATCAATAGAATGTGGCTGATAAGGTCTGAAGTAGAGAATGTTGCTAGGTCAGATTCTAGGGAACCTGACAAATCTGACCCCAAAACAGAGAAGTAGTGAAAATCGGGAGAATTTTAATCAGCATTTCTATACTAGGAAGACAAGGGGGGCAATGTCGTCAGCCCTGGCATTAGAGATACTCATAGTAGCTTTTGGATTATGTAGAAAAGGGACAGAACCCAGACTAAGAGGCATGCACAGTTCATCTACCTTGGCCCAACTGTGGCCTGGTTGATCATTATCTCAGGATTGGTCTGGCAGGCCTTGTTCAATTGCCTCTGGGTAGGGGTAGTTTTGACCCTTGTCACAGATGTTTATCTGGGGGCTCTGTTCCTGGAATTCACCAGACTATAAGAGAATGACTTGGTGCAAAGGAAGCAGGTGCAAAATAGAGGCAGCATACCAAGCTCTTGTTCTGCTTTTTAGTTAACTCATTGTGCCCCTGGCGGGCCAAGTGAAGAGTCTTTGTTCAACAGTGGCCAGAGGATGGAGGGGCCAGTCAGTCTCACCCTGGATTTGGGGAACGAGGGTTCTGGGTGCCTGAAGAGGAGAACCAGCCCAATTCTTGCAAGAAATCAGAAACACTTCACGCAGAAGATGGGGAATGACAGCCAAAATTCTCTTGGAAAACCCTCTTGGCTAAAGCTTAACACATTCCTAACCTTCAGTGGCCATTCAGGTCCTCCCATTACCTCTAGAGAAAGGGGTTCCAGATTGTTGTATGTCACCCCCACCAAAAAATACACAACATCTTAGGTGCAGGGAGAGACCAGTGAATGCAAGGCTGCTAGAGGCCTTTTTTTTTGGAGCAACGTTAGGCTTGCCAGATCCAATGTACAGGAAAGACAATTTTGGATTGCACAAGAGGGACAGGCAGGGATGGAGGACAGGACAAGGCCAGAAAGGGCTGGAGAGATGGTTCAGCAGTTAAGAGCATTTGAACCTGGGTTCAATTCCCAGCACCCACATGATGCCACACAACTATCCAGAATGCTAGTTCCAGAGGATCTGTTACCCTTTTCTGATCTCCACAAGCACCAGGCATACATGTACACACAGGCAAAGCACTCATATGCATAAAATAAGTCTTCTAAAATCCCAAGTAATCCTCATTTTTAAGCAAGAAAACAACAAATACCACAACAGCTATTTTTTATTGAGCACCTACTTTGTGCCAGGCACTTTCCATATATCCGTGCTTATTATTAAAATTACCTTGGAGGTAGGCATCATCATCTCTTTCACACACACACACACACACACACACACACACACACACACTGAGGCTCAGTGGGGTTAAGCGGCTTATTCAAGGTCACCCAGCTGAAGACTGGGGATGTAGCTCCCTGGAGGAGTGCTTGCTTAGTATGCTTGGGGCCCAGGGTTCTGTCTTCAACATTACCAACAAAAAGGAACAAAAGAATTGGCACTGGAGACAGGCATCTGTGGGAACCCTGAAGCGCAGGGCTTTTCACCCAGAGAAAATGAAGGATTGGGGCACAGGCTTTGTTGTCAGAGCCGCTGAGGAAGCTGGGCTCTACCTTGTTGTCCACCTTCTCTGGCAAGTGACTCTTGAAGACATAGCCGCAGAGTCAGGAAAAACTCACCCTGGCTGGAGCTGATCTTAGAACAGGTGAATTCCTGAGATAAAAGACCTTCCCCGACACATGTGTGTATCAATGTGCAATGTCATTCATGTGCCAAACACATCACTGCGGGGATGAGAACATGGTTCCCTTTTAGGTCACACTTGAACATGTGTGCAGAGCGAGACAGCTGAGTAATCTTAAAGGGCTGTTGATTTCCTACAGTGCTCTCCTTTTACCATATGATCTTGGGATTGAACTCAGGTTGTCAGGCTTTCCAGGAAGGAAGGGCCTTTACCTTCAGTAGAGTCACCTCCTCAGCCCAGCTCTAGTGTTATGAACTCCTAAACTGGTGCTGCTACTCTCCTAGGGAAACCATCTGGGAAGGGGCTAGCTCAACAATCAAAGGCTTGAGTTTGCCCCTGCATCATCCTCCCTCTAGGCTTATCCAGCCTCAGGGATATTCTCTTCATTCTGTGCATTCGGAGACCATGGTGGGCACATCTCCCTCTCTCAGATACGAGTGTGTACATACATACACACATATAGACACAGGTTCTTGAATTAAGGCATCGAGTCCAGCCTGCATGGCCCTGCAAGTCTGCCCACTAGGCACTTCTGGCCCAGGGATGGGTTCAAGGTTGAGTCTGCTGTATACACAAATAGGTTAGTGCAGTGTTAGTCTCCTCACAGAGACAATTAGTCCAGGCTGAGCCCAGCTCTCCTACTGCCTGGGAAGAGACCTTTTGCTTCCTTGTCAGCAGGCCAAACCAAACATCTGTATCTTTTCTTTCCCAGATGGAATAGGATCAGGTCAATGACTGCTCAGGTGTGTGCTGGGAAACTAGCTGCTGTCACCAAGAAGGTACACTTTTTTTCTTTCTCTGTGTCGCCCTGGCTATCCTGGTACTCACTCTGTAGGACAGGATGGCCTTGAACTCAGAGATCCGCCTGTCTCTGCCTTCTAAATGCTGGGATTAAAGGCATGTGCCACCACTGCCCAGCTAAAGGTACACCTTCTAAATATGGTAAAAAACTATTTGGGAACTTTGAAGAGAATCGGTTCCTCGTCTCAGAGGACAAAGATGGCTACAAAGGTCAGGGGAAGAAGAGATATCTCTGCTTTAAAAATCAGACCCTGTGTAACAGAAAGAACAGACCTTTGTCCTGAGTTCCCAGCCCTCCAACCCAGGGAAGAGGTTTCTGAAGACTGGAGAGAAGGTCCCGGGGTTTGGGTGGGGCGCTGTTAGGACTGTGCACTGGGGCAGGAGGTTGTTTCCATACTTCCCCTCCCAGGTCTCACCTACAGCTGTTCGCTGGAGCACTTTTAAGTCTGTACTCATTTCCTAAGCGATATAGAGGTGGGAACTTCCTGAGGGCGCACCGTTTGGGTATGGTAAAGGATTAAAACTCTGCATGAAGGCTGGGGTTAGGACTGTGGGATTCCTAGGTCTTGAAGTGGGTCAGGACGCCCAGGTGAAATAGGCGACCTCATCCAGGTCGACGGGGTAATCCGTGAGCAGCACCGGCGTCTTGTCAAAAAGCTCACCCTTGTAGCTGCGCCACTTGCCGGCGGGCAAATAGACATCACGCTCCTGCTTACCAGGCTCCAGTACTGGCGCCACCAGCAGCGTATCCCCGATAAGGAACTGCGAGTCGATGCGGTGGGCCGTTTCATCCCCCGGTGCGATCCACCACAGGGGGCGCACGATGGGGTCGCCAGTGTCGGTGACCTCACCAGCGAGCTCAAGCAGCAGTGGCGCCACTAGCGAGGCGCGCAGAGCGGCGAACTTGTGTGCGATGGCTACCACTTCTGGGTCGTACTGCCAGGGCGGGATTGAAAACTGCATGGCAGGCATGAAAGCCGCCACCTCCAGCCAGCGCACATAGAGCTCGCGCTCCGGCCCCGGCCCATCTTGGCGGCCGTCTGTGCGCTCTGGCACCGCGTTGCCACCCACCATATCGGGCAGGATGAACGGATAGCCCAGCATACTGACCGTGAGCACAGCAGGGATAAGAGAGCGTAGTCCCAGGTCGTAGCCCCATACCGAGTCGCGGTCCACTAGGCGAAAGAAGCAGGAGATGTTCTGTGACTGGTATCCAACGCGGACCTCGGCTAGCGAGAAGAAGGGCAGCGCCATCTCGGTGTACCGCCGGCTCCACACACTGGGGTCGGACAGAGGCCTGTAGGTGCTGAAGTCCCGGGGCAGGTAGCTGACCTCACCAGCGTCGAACTTAAAGGAGGCCACATTGTAGCGTGAGCGCAGGCGCCGTAGCTGTCCCTGGAACCAGTCTCTGGCCTCTGGGCGCGTGAAGTCCAGCACCGCACCGATGCCGTTCCACCAGCGCACCAGCGCGGGCAGCCGGCCCGTGGGCTCGCGCACGAACAGCTCACGCTCCACGCCCTCGCCGAAGCGCGAGGAGTTGTAGTTGACAAACGGATGCACCCAAAGTGTGACTCGGAAACCAGCCTCTCTCAGGCTGCGGAACATGTCAGTGGCATTGGGGAACTTGCCCTCGTCGAAATCAAAGTCGCCATAAGCAGGCGTGTACATGTCATCGATTTCCAGGTGGCTGCTGTTAAAGCGGTGCTGACGGATCTCCTGGGCGAATTGCAGCACCTTGTTTTGGTCCACCGAGCGCCCATAGATCGCCCATGTGGACCAAATGGGGTCTCGGAAGGCCTCTGATGCTGGTACCCTGGATGGCTTATTGAAGTAACGCCGAACCATGTACTTGTGGATGGAGGTGACATCTGAGCCCACGCACACGCGATAGCTGAGTTCTGGCGCTGCGGTACCGCCAGCTGGTGGCTTGTAAGATGTGTCGTGATAGCGTGCCTGCAGCCGCATCGAACGCTCAGTGCTGTTCCAACCCAGGTGGAAGGGCACTGAGTCATTGACTTTGATGGCGGCCGCGCGTGAAGACAGCCAGTAGCGCTCGAGGATGCCCCCGAATGCGGCGTCAGAAGAGTACACGTCGCTCGTGACAAATGGCTGTGGCTCCTGCTGGCCATCCAGGCGGATAGGCCAGTGTTGCGTCCTCATCTCTGCGCCGCCATACCAATGCGCCGCAGCATCTCCCAGAAACATGGCGTGTTCCACAGCACGCCCTGGTGCAGCTTCCTCCCAGCGCACGCGGTAACACATGACAGTGTCCTTGGGTCGTACAGTCTGGATGAAGAAGTGCAACGGGCGTCCATCGGCCGTTCGGGAGCAGCCAAGCAGGGCACCCTCCCGGCTGCAGGAGTCGAGGTCCAGTGCACCCGAACGGAAGGCCAAACGGAAGACTTGCTCACCTTTCTGGTTCCGGATGGAGAAGCCGCCACGGTTCAGGTCCAGCAGCTCTGCGCGCAGGCGTTCGGCTTTGCGTAGCGAGGCGCTGTAGTAGCACCAGGCCACAACTGCCGCCAGCACCAGCAGCAGTCCCAATACCGCGGAGCCCAGCAGAGGCCTCAGCTCTTTGTTGGGCTTGGGTTTGGCAGGTGAAAAATTGTCAGGCAGGAAAGTGTACATGGTTGCTGCTGGGATGGCTTTGAGGCTTTTGGGGCCTGCGTTACTACCAGATCTATGTCGGGGGTAGACCTGGCTCTTCTCCCTAAGGTTCTGGGGCATTAGTCCCCTACTAAGGAAGGAACCAGCACACCAAGCCCATCTGAATATGGCCTGCGGGAGCCTGCAAAAGGGAGAAAAAGGACATTAAGCTTTCTCTTCCACCGTATTTCCATTTCTGCAGCCTAGAAGAGGGGCCTAAGAGCTTGACAAATGGCAAAGGCAGGGCTCTTGTCCAGGACAATCAATGTCTTACCCTCCTTTTTCTTAGGCCCCACCACTTGCCAAATTGGTGAGAACTGTGAATGGAGAGAACCATGGGAATGAGAAAGTATGCTTCTACTCTTTCCCAGTGGAAAAACAAACCCAGAGAAGCAAGGCACTGTCCAGGGTCGTAGCATGAGCAGACAGCCCCTCAAGAAGGAGGGCTGAAGTAGCTCTGGCTAAAAAGAGGGACTACTCTACCACATGTAAGGCCTTGGTAAGAAAGGGCCAATGGTCCACCCAATTCTGTTAAAGAACAGGGCAATCAGTAGGCTGGCTTCCCTGCCTCTAGAGAGTCAAGGACAAGGGGAAAAGGGACACCTAAGTCATGGAATTTGATATTGAGTCCAACTAGATGGCTATCTGGAAATTAAAGAAAGCACCGAAAGTCACATCCAGTCACAGGGACTGGTTTGGAGGAAGGCAGAACTAGGGTGCAACATTGGGGCTGAAGCAGGAGCTTGGTGAAAGATCTTGCTTCTCTGCCCTGCCCCTTTGCTCACAACCTCTCCTGGCTCTAAGCCACTAAGTATCAAGTAAATCCATTTCTCTGCTCATGCTTCTTGTCTGCTCCCAGGAGGGAAGCTGGAAGCTGTGCAATCAAAGCTCGAGACATGATATGATTCCAGCTACATTTCCATGCAGCCCAGAAAAGTGGCCCTGACTGTGATCCTCCTGCCTAACTGCTGGATAGCTGGCATTGCAGGCACACATCACCACATCTGAGTTCAGCTCCTTTTCTGATTCCAACCCCAACCAGGTCTATCTCAAGACTACCAAGCTCATTCCCTAACCTAAATCCTCAAGTCACCTGCTTTGGTAGATTTCAGCCGTCTAGCCTGATAATCTCTCCTTAGCTCATCAGGGAACAGATGCCCACCACCACACATATAAATGTTCACACAAAGTATGCTAAACATTGAAATATGTATGCAGGAAAACTTGGGTTTGTTTCAACCCTCTGCTAAAGGCCACTAACTCCTGTCTCAACCCCCAAGGGCAGAGTCCAACAAAAGAAAAGTACCTGCCACATGCAAACACAGGCAGTCACACTGCCAGCCAATGGGTTGCCTAACTCCCCAGCTGGGGGGAAGGAGAGACTGGCAGATAGTAATCAGTTGCTTCCCAGATGCCAGTGTCTGTCTCTCTGTCTGTAGTGACTTCCAAGGTGGAAAACTACTCAGGTTCTTCTACTTGTCCAGCTCTCCATTCAGAATCTGTCAAGAATGCCAGGTGCAGAGATCAGAGAGATGGCTCAGCAGTTAAGAGCACTTAACTTCCAGAGGACCTAGGGTTCGAATCCTAACACCCACGTGGCTGCTCACAACTGTCTGTAACCTCAGTCCCAGGGGATCCAATGTCCTTTTCTGGCTTCTGCAGGCACCAGGCACAAATATGGTGCACAGACATTCAGGCAAATACTCATACACATAAAATGAACACAAATGAATCTTAAAAAAAAAAGTCATGTGCAGATCCTAGAAGACAATACTTTAGCATCATTCTTTTATCTTTGTTTGCTTGTTTGAGACAGGGTTTCCCTGTGTAGCAGCCCTGGCTGTCCTGGAGCTCTCTTTGTAGACCAGGCTGGCCTCCGAGATCTGCCTGCCTCTGCTGGAATTACCATTTTTATCCCTCCCCACAACTTTAATGACTCCAGTCACGTCGCTGCCCAACCCCAGTCTGGAATAGCCTCTTATTTCCTCTCCACCTACACATTTAGAGTTGCCCTAGCCTCCTGTAGGTAACAGTGTCCTTTGCTGATACACTCACAAAGTTAAGTGACACCCAAAGAAGGCTGTGGGGTCCCAAGCCTGACAAATGCACACTTCTGTCATTTACTCAACAGCCAAGGCTACATTCTGAGTACTAAGGGGTTAAAAGGAGAGGGGTCTGGTTCTAAATGGGAAAGACCCCCCTCAGCCTTAAAACATATATTCAGTTGGCCTTATGACCCCTGGGGGCCTGAAAAGCTCACTTTGATGGTTTCCAAAGCCCTTTCACCACTTGGGTTTTGAGAACCAATTTTTAGTATTATTCGGTTCTTTGATGAAGGGCAGGAGCCCACAGACTTAGGCACCCACTTTGTTAGTGCCTCACTGTGTTCTTCCAAAGGAAACCGCAGCATCTAACACCAACAACACTGTGAGCTGTTGCGTCCCTTTTACAGATGGGAAAACAGGGCTTGTCAGCAGTCACCGGGGATCCCAGTGAGTTTCCTGGGATCCGAAATTTTGCCTCCACCTCCCATAATGAGAAATGGGCGTGGACCGGTGAGGCCTGTCTTTTTAAGCGCTGCCGCAGGCAGATCAGAAGATTTTAGGGGTGCGAAAGGGGCAATTTAATGGCATCTGGTATTGCAGCTGTGGGACTCTGTGGCTCCACTCTTAGTGTCGTTCAAGACCCCGTAATCTGTCGCGTCTACCATGTGGCCAAACACAGGCTAAAACTAGCAGGTGGGATCGGCGGAGAGGGCCTTCCTATAGGCTCAGCCTAAGAAGCCTCTTCCCGCTGGCTTCACACTCAACCTCAGTCTTGGCTGCCGGCCCCTAGCCTACAGTTTAAGGGCGAGGGCCCGACTCAGCCCGACTCAGCCCAACTGAGCCACTTACGGCAGAGTCCTTTGTCGGACACAGTTGGAAGGGGAGTGGAAATGTCAAAGGCAATTCGATCCTGCCCATCTCCCTCCCCTGCTCAGGGACAGGCTCCACAAAGATCAAGTGACTGTGCTAACACAGCCTGGAATACTTGACACCCACCCTTGGAGCCACACCCGGCACGGCCCAAAGGGGCAGAGGAAGGTCAAGGGACCGGTCGCTGGCTGGGACCCTCTGGCCTAGAGGAGGGGGGCTCAGGTATCCAGGGGCGCTCTACCAACGAAAGTTCAGAAACTGCTCCTTAGGCAGCTCAACACCCCTCAGCCTCAAAGGCCTCGTACTGGGCTCACTCACCGCAGTGACCACCACACAGAAGACGGGGAGAAGGGATCTCCCGGCAGATTCTCTCTCCAACGCTAACAGAAGTTGAGCAGCCACAGCCCCTGCGGGTTGCTGCCTGGCTAGGCACAGCGTAGCCCCTCCTGCGCCCCGCCCTTGGGCTACTTGGCCACGCCCAGCCGTCCAATGTGGCTTCAGGCCTGGGCCTCCAGCCCCACCCCTGGCTCCCGGCCCCTCCCCCACAGCCTCTTGAAGCTGCAAGTGCCTTGCCCGGACTTTCTTCTCTCCGCCCTAGCTCTGCCCTTTGGGCCCGCCTCTAGATTGGTGCCTCTAGGCTTCACCCCCTGCCTCAGGCGCCGCCCCTGTTAAGAGCAGGCCATCGCTAGCCTGGCTGATCCCTAGGCCTTATGGGAGATGTAGTTCTGAAGGGAGGAGTTGCTGAATGTTGGGGTTCTTGCAACTCCAGACTAGGTTTGTTATGTGTATGAGAGCACCGCAAGGTGGAGGGGCAGAGGTAGCTGTGGTGGCTCGAATAAGAGTGGCTCCCATAGGCTCATCTATTTAAATGTTTAGGTACCTGAGCACGGTACTGTTTGAAGGAGTTACAAGGATTAGGAGGCATATGTGTAGCTCCTTCTCTTAGTGACAACTTTTAGTTAGAAATGCCCATGCTGGGCAAGGCAGTGGTGGCACACACCTTTATTCCCAGCACTTGGGAGGCAGAGGTAGGCAGATCTCTGTGAGTTTGAGGCCAGCCTGATCTACAGATCGAGTTCCAGGACAGACTCCAAAGTTACAGAGAAACGCTGTCTCAAACAACAACAACAACAAAGAAATTCCTGTGTTGGCTGGGTGGTGATGGCACATGCCAGCACTTGGGAGGCAGAGACAGGTGAACTTAAAAAAAAAAGTCTGTACCTCAGAGTGCAGAGATGGGTATACTGTGCCATACCCTCCCCCCTAAAGCAAGTGGTGGTGCAAGAGAAGATTCCAGAGCATCCCACCCTCTGCTCCCTTGGAGGATAGAGAAACAGAAAAACCGATCTGTTACAGTTCCAAGTTTCATGATTGTGAGTCTTTCCAAAATTATGTTCTGTAGTTCTTAGACTCAGGTGGGGAAGGGTGACAAATGTTTCTGAAGAGAGAGCATTTGGGAGGTTGTAATGGAGACCTGGGATCTGAGATGGAGAGGAATCTATGTTCATTGATGTATGTATGTATGTATGTATGTATGTATGTATGTATATGGGGAAATGTTGGCTAGAGGGTCTTCAAGTAGACAGATCTGCATGGCTAGCTGGACTCAAGCTCTGCAGTGATGGGAGAGAGGACCCCAGCTGGATTACTGCTATATCAGAAGGACACTGAGGGGGTGTCCTGAGATGACTGGAGATGGAGAATTTGCATCCAGAGCTTTCTAGGTAAGGACACAGGAAGCAGTTTTTTGTGGTGAAGAGTTTATTGCTCCACCCTCTTCCTTGGCCTGGCCAAAGCTTTACCAGGAACGGTAGGCAGGATAGGTTTCAGACACAAACTCAGGATGGACAACATAGTTGTTTCTCTGGGGACCACCAGTTTTCTTGAAGTGACTCGTGTCCCATCTGCAAGGAGAGATAATCCTGACTCCAATTCTCAATATTAACCTTATGTCAACATTTTACTTCTGACACTGACCATACACTAACCTCAAGTGCTACTGGTGAATTTATGATACCCAAGACATAATTTCCCAACCTTTACTTCTTACCCTACAAAGGTTTATATGAAACCCTGAACCCAATTCCCTTGACTTCAAGTCCACTGCCAACTCAAGCTCTCATCGAGATCTTCTGGTCTGTCGCAACCATTAACTTCCCCATAGCACTAGCGCCCCCTGGCGTTAATGTCCTGTCTGAGCACTTCAACAGGCATTTTCCCACCCCAACTAGTCTCCTGGCTCAACCCCACATCCACTAAAGGCACTGTCTCCAGCGTGCAAGTGAATGCATCAAACTTACCTAAGGTTGGGTGATGGGTAGTATGATGGCGGGGGAGTTGTAACAGCACATTGCATTCCGGGCCGGTGACCGTAGGGCGAGAGACTCCTAGTGAAGGAAGAAACAGCAAGGAGAGGTCGGGTATTTTTTTTTTTTTTTTTTTTTAATATCCTCATATCCCAATATTGCAGACCAAAAACCTGGGTACAATATCGGTTCTATCGTTCCTTCTTTGCCCTTCATAAACTCACTGCAGCAGGACCTCTGAGAAGACTCCAAGAAGTCCCCTCCCCACCAATGCCTGGTTTTTGCTGCCAGGAATCTGGGGGATCAGATGCAGCCTTTGAGGAACCGGCATGCCCCCCCCCCTCACTCGCGCTTCCACGAGACAGCGATTTCTTCAGCTCAGGGAAGTAGTTACTGTTTCTAGGCCTTCTAGAGGCTCACACACTTTCCCACACCCACACCCCTTCTGACGGAAAAGACCCAATCTTTGACAAGGAATTAGGCTTGAGGAAGGGTAGATAGATCATCATAGGATTAGGGACAGGGTTCGGGAGTTCAGAAGCACCTCTGCACAGCTCTCAAGAGTCACAGGCTTGAAAGCACCCCCACCCCCGTATTGTCTGCTGTGGCTGGATGCAGTCTGGATGCTGTGCTCCTCTGTGTGCTTAGCATTCTCACTCAAGGAAGCCACGAACCCTGTGGGAAAACAGTAACGACTTCCTTTGCCCCAAAGATGATCCTGCCCACTGCTAGCTAAAGGTGCTCTTAGACCCAGGCTAGAACCTCTCTCTGTCTCCAGACCCAAGGGTCTTATAAGGACCAGGGCCCGTGAATGGGAGAAAAGGTAGCTGCTGATGTGAGGGGTGTGGAATCCTCTTAAACTGTTTTTGCAGGATCTCCAAGAACACAAACACTTGTCAGGTTGACCTTGAGCACGGTCGGATGGGACAGGATTGAGAACTTGGATGTAACCTTCATGCTGGTTCTCTGCCTTACTTGTTCGCTTGTGCCCTGGGGCCCTGTAAGCAGGCAGAAGCCTTTGGGGGCCTGACGTGGAAACAACAGAGCTAGAATGAGGCAGGATGCGGGCCTGCAGGCGACTTGGAAGGGACTCTAGGGGGCGGGGCTCGTTTGTGGGTGGAGCCCGGCCAAGGCGGGCGGGTCCCCGCGAACCTTACAGTCGGCTCCTCGGAACACAAAGGCCGCAGGCGGCGTTCTGTGCTAGGCATCCCGGTGGTGCAGTAGTCCATCCCGCGCAGACAGTAGTGGCGGCCGGAGCAAGGGCTTTCGTATCCTTGGAGTGGCAGGCGGCCCGGCAGAGGGTCCACGCACCCGCAGCGGGGCGCAATCTGGGGCAGAGTCCGGTTCCGGGACAGCGAGTTCAGCATGTTCACCACTACCTCGCGCTCTGAGCCCACAGTCCAGGATACCCAAAGACAGTGCCAGAGGGATGGGAAAAACAGGATCAGAGCCCGAGGCAGAGACAAAAACAGGGGGCAGACACACAATTACACCCTCTCTAGGTTCTCTAGATCCCCACTCTGCCCTCTGGCTTCCCCCTTGGCACTCAAGAATCCTCCTCTTGACTGCTCTACCTGCCATTTACCGTAGGCGTTGAGGCGCTCTGGTTTAGGAGGGTACTCCAACGGCATTCCTCGCATTACTGTCTCCACCCCGGCATCCTGGAAGCGGCACACGAGCTACCTTAAGCTCTGATATGAGTCAGTTCCTCCTTTTTTGGGATGGGGGGGGCTGTCTTCCCTGAATACCCAAACTGACTTCAGGCGACGCAGTCTCCCCTCATTAGCAGCTCCCCTATTCTCCTGGGTTGTTTGGAGTTGTTGCGTGGCAACGCAGTTGCTCCGCCTATGCGGGCAAGGTGAAGGTGAGGATGCTGGAACCCGCGGCAGGGATGGGTGGTAGAGGTGTTTTTAGGCCTGGGACTCTGACAATGTTACTTTAGCATTTACCTATATGTCATCTGTGTCTACACGTCTCTAATGCGGGGAGGGGGCTCTGGCTAATATTGCTTGTTTATCAGAATCTCTTGGGGGAACTTGTGTGTGTGTGTGTGTGTGGGGTGGAATCCGATTCATGGGAAATTCTATTTCAAAAGGGTTCAGTCAGCTCCCAGCTTCCCGTTAAGCTCGGCTGCTCTGGATTTGGTTTTGCCTCCTCACGTCTTGAGAAAGGTCTGGGCCTCAAGGAGACTATCCTTCGAAGCCACCTTGCAATTGAACTGTTTCGTTCTTCTCCTGCCCTTGTTCCCATCACAAAGGACCAGAGGGTGGGGCAGGGAGGGCCTAGCTCATTACTGACTTAAGGGCAGAACTGGAGTCACAGTAGCCAGACCAACTGAGAGAGTACTGCTTGGCAGGCTTCAAAACGGTCAAGGAGTGTGCTCTAGCCATGTTACCACCAAGCCGGGTCAGAGACTGGAACCCAGGGGTCTATCACAGGCCAACTCCTGACTGCCATTGTCAGCTAACAAAACAAAACAAAACAAACAAAAACCTAATCTTACAGATGGGAAGAGTTACTGCAATGTGGAGATTGTGTGTGTGTGTGTTCCTGTCCCAGACCTCAGGCAATTGTGGTAGGCACAGTAGGTACCTTAGGCAGTCTTGGAAGACAGGTGGAATACTTGTTCCAGTAGCTGTTGTAAGGTCCTGTCCTCCATGAGTTGTAACGGTCATTGTCCAGGTAGTTCGTACAACATTTGTCCTCTTCATCATAGGAGTGGAGATGTCAGACAGGATTACTTCTCAGTCCTTCCAGGGCCTGAGACCTCCTAGATGTTTCTTCTCTGATCTCTATCACAAAGCTGGCCCTCACTGACCCCAATTCCCAAGTCCAGACTTGCAGATCCTCAACCATTTATTTATTCACTTTGGAGACAGGATCTTACTATGTAGCCTGGAAGTCTATATAGCCCAGGCTAGCCTCAGTCTATCCTCCTACCTCACTGTCCCTGTTGCTGGGATCACAGGCCTGAAATGGCATCATGCCCTATCCACCACCCTTGTTCTTTATGCCACTGAACTGCAGTTTATGTCTCACCTAAGGGATGCTTTTGAGCAAGGTTTGGATCCATTGGGCTATCAGCTTTCACCCGGGGCCACACCCTCTTTGAATCTGATAGCCTGGAAGTGGGGCCTTCCCTCTCTCTAGCATATCCAGGCCTCTAGGTC